GTACCATTGGATAAAGAATTACACAAGGAAAAGCATCTCTCTGCACTTGTTCAATGATTCATGAAAGAGGAGAAAGAAAAAGAAAAGTGTTAATAACATTTTTGACCCCTCAATTATTGATAAATTTTAATCTCATATATCCGAATTACCATATTTGATGTTTAATTAATTAAAATATGTATTTTTTATTCTTTTTAATTATAAATATTCATAAATTTATCAGAACTATTAATCCTTCACCATTTAATTACGTTAGATTTGTATTGTTACTCTATATTTCAGGATAATATAATATATTTCTTTATCCCCTGATCTTCTTGGATGCTTTCATTTTCACCCCATAGTGTGGTCTAATGACCAATGAATTGACTTGAGAACGAGGTTTCAAGTTCAAACTCAGCAGAGATAAAAACACTAGGTGGTTTCTTCCTGTCTCTCCAAATTTTAGTGGACAGAATTACCCCCGGATACCCCGTTGAATTAATCAAAATGCACGCACACTAGATCAAAGGGCACAATTATCGAAAAAATATATGGCATACACNAGAAGTAGCTTTATTCAAAGTCTTGTGGAGAAATCAACATGTTAAAGGCAAAATGCACGCACACTAGATCAAAGGGCACAATTATCGAAAAAATATATGGCATACACTTCCTCCATAGAGGGGAAAATCACACACACACACACACACACACTCTTTTATTCATTGAGGATTAAATATGATAAATCAAATATCACAAGGATCAAAATAAGAATTTATCCTCCTTCTTTTCTTGGTTATTCTAATTAGTGATGGTGAGAGGAGAAAAAAAAGTAGGATAAATTCTGAGTGCTAGAATGTGATTCATATAATTTTTAATTTTTTGTTGTTGTCCAATTTGGAAAAAAAATATTCAGGTAGGTGAAGTAGGAGAGCTATCAGAGATATTCCAATGGAGGGGAGAAGTGGATAAAGGGTTACCAAATTGGGAGGAATCAGATAAAGAGCATCTTGGTGAAGAGTTATCTGATGTTTTGCTTTATCTCATTAGATTGGCTGATATTTGTGGCATTGATCTTGCTGATGCTGCTGCTAAGAAGATTCTCAAGAACTCTATCAAATATCCTGAGCCCAAAGTCTTCTGAACAAGTGAGGATTCATGTAGTCCTTTCTTAATTTGTTTGAGACTGAGACGTCGTTAGTGTTTATCATGAAAAAGAGGTTTTTTGTTTGGTGAGACTAAAATTAAAAATTTTTAAAACAAATTATCACTTGCTATTAAACTTTTGCCTTTTGTGTGCATTATATACAATGTAATATTTCAATATCAAGCAAGTTAGGATTGACTAAATCGTGTAGCTTTGTCTACATTGATCTATTTTGTATTGAGAGGATTGATCATAACTGATTGATTTTACTTCAGTTATTAGCTTATTGTGACCCTCCTTCTTTATTTGAACTCGATACTCAGAAAATGAGCAAAAGATCATTAATCTTATACAGAAACTCAAAGTTGATCTCAGTTGGTAAGTAAACACTTTAATTTTGATAGTACGCGTATAGACACCTCAACTTGTTTCCACTGTGTTAGTTGAACACTCCAACTTACAAAATAATCATCTAGACACCTCCAAAATTTATGTGACATGTCAGCATCGTGTATCCACGAGACACAGTAAGAATGAGTTGGAGTGTTTAGTTGTCAGTTGAGATCAAGTTAAGGTGTCTAGATGTGCACTAGTATCTCAATGTTGGAGTGCTTACTTGCCAGCTAAGACCAAGTTTGAGTGTCTATGGGCAAACAAACCTTCAAGGTCAAAAGTCAAAAAATACTACATGTCCAGGGAGCAAAACTAATTAAACTTGAAGTTTTGTCCATGTATTGAGGTCAAAAGTTCAAGAACATCCACTTTCAAAGTCATTCTTGTAAATCACCCGGAGGAAACAAATTCGTAGAAATAACGCACACATTTAAAAAATACTTGCCATCATGCAGTTTCAAAATTTATAATAATAAAACTCTGAGATAAATTTCATATGTAAAAATTTAAAACGGCATAATGATAGTTGTTTTTCAACTGCGGGAATTGAAAAGTGGCTATTTTTGAATTTTACCCAACAAAATTCCACAACCCTACGATGTGGACATTTTCCGCACATATCGTAAAAGTAGCGGCTAATTTGAAAAACCGTTAAAATGTGATAACCACTCCCTTCTCTCCTCTCCTAATTTTGCATCTCTCACAAATTGCACTAACAATTAATTCCAAAAAATAATAATTATATTTCACTTCTCATTTAAAAAAAAAAACAATTAAAAAAGAAAAAAAGAAAAGATTTGTAACTGAAAAAATAAAATCACACACAAAATCATCTGACCTGCAACTTTTTTGTTCCACATCTAGACATTTAAATCCCAGGTTCTTTTTCTATAATTCCTTCCTGTTATGATTTATTCTATTATTTAATTTTGACATGTTTTCAGATTTGTGTTTCTCCAGTTTTTCCTTTTTTCTTGATCTGATTTTTTTAGCTGTTAGAATTTATAGATTGAGTTATTATATATATCTAATGTGGAATCAGGATCAACTAGGATCGAAATTGAAAGATCGAGTTGAAATTATTTATTTGGAAATTTCCGGATAAGCTAATTCTTAGCTTCATTCTCTCCATTGGAACAATAGGACCGTTATGCTCATTATTGAACTTGTTGAGGTTGAATCGATCATCGAAACAAAAAAAAGGGATAAAATTAGGATATATTCTGAGAAAATAAAAAATCTCATTGCATCAAATGTTCCTTTCTCATTGCATAGATGAGAATTTTCCACTTTCAATTGCACTTATTCCTCTGTATTTTATCATAAAGTATGACGATTATGGTAGAAATGCTGGAGTTGAGAAAGGACTTTGATGAAACAATGTTCCATTAAGGGGTTGTTTGCTTACATCTTTTGTGTTCTATCTGAAACATCATCATTTTAGATAAGGAAGCTGGCTATCCAGTTTGCTTGTTTCAACAAGGGCGGATTCACAATTTATGCTACGGGTTTAGCAGACCAGTAACTGCAAACCAAGTAGCATAAATGGATTGTGGGTTCGTTGGCAAACGAGGGGTTGTTATTTGTTAGAATAATTTTGCATCTTCGTAAATGTGATCATTTTGA